CAAACAAATCACAATTGCTGATTTTGCTTGTAGAAAAAGCTCTTCACAGACAGTAAAAATTAAAGAAGGCATTTCATGGTGAGGTCAGGGTTTAGGCTATCCTAAGGGCTATCGCAGATCTTAGGCTGATTGTTTTCTTTAGCATCTGTATTAATGAGCTTTGGCTCAGTGTGATGAGAGTTAAACTGTCCAACTATTAAACCACATTCATTCAGTAGTATACAGTTCCTCTACTGCAAACGGAGTTACAGATACGGAATTACACCAGTGGCTCCTGAGCAGGGGTAGGTATACCCCAAACAGTCTACAGCCACTACAAAAGGGTGTGTGCCTCCATGAAGAGCTAGAAGCTGCTGCTGCACATCACAGTGCTCGCATGACGCCTAACTGCTGATGATATTGGGCACCATCACTACTAGTGATGATAGTAGGAATTTTAAGAAATAAATGTTGTAGATTACAATCTTCCCTAAAGCACAGAAGAGGTGAATTTCACAATATAGAACAAGGCTTATTATTTTGCCCAGTGGACGAGGCTGTGTGGCAGAAGGTGCTAATTCTAGCACAGAGTGCCAATCATGTAGCAGGTCAGTGTAAGCTTAGCGGGCAAGACTGTGATACAAGGGCCGAAGCTCCAAATGCAGCATGGTATTAGAGGGCACTTACCAATAATGTAACATTTCTGCAACTAAATCCAACTTCTCTGCATGCTATTTTGCGTGCAGTCACCTTTGCTTCTTAGGCGCAGCTTACTGTTTTCTCTTGTGCTGTGCTGTTGGCCTGTGCAGAAGAGGGAGACGCGGGCCCTCTGCACCTCACTCCTTAGCGAAGAAGCACAGACACCGATGGGTGCAAGATGCACAGACTCCTGTGTTGGAGGAGTTCTTCAAGCCCTTAGAAGATTCAATGAAGCCACCACTCCTGTACACAGGAGTGTGGAATTTCAGTATGTCTGATACGCTGCTAAGTGACTGTCATCACTTATTTTTCGGGAGGATTCTGCAGGATCTGGAAGGTCTCTGGCAGAAACTGCAGCAGCACGTGGTGTCGCGTGCTAGGGAATGCAGAGACAGCTGCAAGGACTAGATCATACAACGACAACATTGCATTTCTGCTCTATTCTAAGCATTTTGTGGCCAACTCAACCCCTTGGTACATGTTTTTAATGGATTCAGAGGTACCAGTTGGCTTCAGATAAAACTAGGTAGGTAGGAGGTATTTGCTGGGTATACAACGCCCACGCTGAAGGTAGGGAGACGCTCTTAAGAGCAGCTTCTTTTCTCATCAACACACTCCAAAACATAAATTACCCAGAGCCTTACAGTACTGTCTCTGGGGGGGAGAAAAGTCAGGGTTGTGAAAAAAACAAAGTCAGGGTTGTGAAAGATCATGTGTGAAAAGCACAAACTGTTCACCCGGGAAAATGCTGCTGTAAAGCTTCAACATCCTAATCCAGCTTTGAGATCTATGCTCTCTAGACGAGGGCAAATGGCTCTTGCAAGCCTGTTGCAGTGATTCGTACTGTAGACGTTTGTAACTAAGTACAGTCCCACTCCAGCCATATTAGAGTCTGTCATGTAAGTGGACTTGTGGTAATAAAAGATGGTCAAAGCCAGACTAAGTTGCTTGAATGACATTAAAGTTTTTTTTAAAAAAATATTTAATTTCTAAATCAACATGGCTTGTCTAGGGTGTCTGAATGAATACAGACCCAAAGTCTAGACAGAAAAAAACAGTAGTCAGGACACTATTTGGAGAGCAAGGGAGCCTTGGCTGGTTTCAGATCCAAAATTACTGTGTGATATTTAGCAGATCGCTTTGACCTGTTCCTCAGTTTCACTTTAAAATTTAATAGTACATGGCCAGCTCCCTCTGAAGCAGACAAGATAAAATCCACCAGGGACTATGAACTGCTCAGATGACATTGTCATGAAAATTATACATTATAAGACAGAATTATTATAAATATGGAGTACCTGTTAGCATGTGTATTTTTAAAAGAGCAAATTGCATTACCCTGAATTTTTCTTGTTCTTGGCATTCTCAAATGTTTTGCATCTCCTGACATCATTCTTGGATTTTTATAGCCTGCATGAGCTCTTCCAAAAGAGAAAAGTAATCAAGCTTTGTCATTTACTAGAAGACATTTTAATAAAAGTGGAGCATGAGTTGAAAAACTAGACCTTCATGTCTTCTTTGGTGCTGAAGTACTCCTAAATCCAGACCAAGTTCTGCAGGCTGCTCCCTAACTCTAAAAAGCCGTGCTAAGAAAAAGTCTGGGAAGCAGTCAACACCGTTTACTGTATCTGCTCTGCTTTATTCCATACATAGTTCATAAATAACCAAGGAGAGCTGTCTAATCAGGTGCCTTTTTTTTGCTGTTATTCTTTCTATTGAGGAGTCACTTAAAGCTGCTTTCTCTCCCTTTATTTTGCCATAAAATTAAATGAAAATATGTGGGGGTGAAGATGAGTAATTTCTTTACGAGGTCCCTGAAGCAATTGCCATCAACTTCTGGACCTGACTGTGCCCCATACACTTAACTCCAGCAGAGAGGTTACAGTGGAACCTCTGTGGAACCTTACTGTGGAAAGAAGGACAGACTGGGATATAACCACTTCCCGTCACCAGACATGCTGGTTTAACATCCGTGGAGTAATTTCTGTTCTCGTTCTCAAGCAGGAGACCCTTGAGGGCTCTCTATCTTCTGACATCTGTGACTAGCTGTCAGTGAGGAGCTATACACGACAGAACCCGAAGGCTGCACAGAATACAGAATTACAGAACTCAGCTCTTGGGCTCACACGCCACAGTGTACGTATTTCCTCTGCCTATGGATGCTACTGCTGCCAAGTGCACATCTTTCATAATGCCAGGCACTTGCAAGTCAAGCTTAAGGAAGAAGGAATGTGACCTCTTGTAAGAAAGCACACAAGCATTTTAGCTTCAACCCTGATTACTGGAATAAGAAAGAGATACGGTTAGCATGAAATCTGGAATTATTGAATTTCAATATGAAATACTGAATAATCTACTGCACTGTTTTGACCATGTACAGAATAGTGAGGACGAGAAATCCCACCCATATCTCTCAGTGTTAGTTGTGTAAATACTTTGAGCTTATATGTCTGCAGTCTCAGTTTCCTTCCTCATTGCTCCAAGAGATTTACCAGAAGAGAAACACAGACAAGCGCTATAAGAAAAAAATGGCAGAAAATATGTATCATCCTCACATACATTTTTCTTACATATTCTGGAGATAGAATTGGTCAGCTGATCGTATGCTCCAAGACTTAAAATATTATTAATAAATTTTTGGACTTTAGATCAACTCATCAAGTTAGCAGTTGGGAAGCAGAAGATACCAGCGGCATGGAGAATTTCTAGATAACGGAATAGCACACCTACTCAACTCTGAAAAGGTGATTTGCTTACCTCTGTATTTCCTTCCTTCCTTTTTCATATTTGAGTCACTATGCTTGTGTTAGAAAATGGAAGAAATAACACATTTTATAATTAAAGCCTATGATCATGATATATAACCTCTACATTCGCAAGTGAAGCATGCATCTGTAGCTGGCTCCCGACGCAGATTAAGTCCCAATAAAGCTACACACTGTGTGTGAACAAATGAAAGCTGCCACTCTTTGATAACACCTGCAAAATAGTGCGTAGAAATGAATGTGACCAGAAATCCAGCCTGACTGCAGTACATGCACTGCAGTTAAAAACCTGTCCTTTTGGTTTTTTAACTGCAGTGCATGTCCTGGAGTTCCTAGGCACTCTAATCACAGAGATACAGAAGATTTTAAAGAATTTTTATTCTGAAGGCCCTACACATGGCTCATGCCAGAGCTCTAAGCAAATACGGAAAGAGTAATTAAAAAAAATAATTTCTTAGGCGTAAAGGAAAGGTTTGCTATGTGATCAGTCTCAACTCCTCTTACGTCAATTTACTTTCCACTTTAATGCAGCAAACAGCAACAGCAAGCATGCAGGAGTGACGTGGCAGCTCGAAGTCATTGGAGAACAGTTCTTGCCCATGTTTCTTAGGCATCTGAATGACTAGTAAGCTTCAGTCTGAAAGACCCTATATTTATATACACTTGAGAGGCTGCAAGATCCTTATTAATTCTGAAAAATCACATTATTTTCCCTGACCTTGTATTAGTTTGTATTTGAAACACAATAGGGCTGCCATCTTTAAATGTCTGAAATCTGCATAACCCTACATTGGGTAGGAAGAGATCACTCATTACCTGTAATTTGAGAGACTGCCTACCGGTAAAAGCACAGGCACCGGCTACAACCTGAGGAGTTCTTTGCAACTCTGTGTATCAGCTAAAGGTGTGCAGGCTGACTGGAGTCTTTTTATTGTTTGGAATACCTTGTCACTTGACATCATATGATATGCGGTTACTGGTGGATAATTAAATCCAACTGCTGTATTCTCAAACTATTAGATGTAATTTGGAAATAATCACTGGTTTGTTTAAAACTATTTAGTACAAACAGTGTTATTTTGCTTTTTATTAACACACCTTAAATGGGTTTGCCAATATGTAGTGTATGTTATGGCTCATGATCAGCTGTTTAATGAGATACAAGAAATCCAAACAGTGAGGACTGAGATCTCTTCTCCACGTTCTGGGCTCAGAATTACATGAAGCCCCATGAAACACCTTCTGCAAACCATTTTGGATTGGTTCATAGAGCTTGCTCCAGTACTTTTCATAGAACACATCTTAAATTACCAATGTGTAAAATGTAAAAAATTAATTATTTAGGGAAGTACTAAATGCTAAGCTGAAGCACAGATTAGTTTTATTATTTTATTTTAATACTACAGTGATTGAGCACATTCCTTTTCTTTTCTATAGTTCTGGAAATAAAAAATCACAAAGCGATCCAACACGTTTTCATCCAGGAGCATAAACCAAGACTGAATTTTGAAGGTCTGGACATCTTCTCTGATTTTAATTCTGTGTTATTGTGCAAAAATGTCAAGAAACACAACAGAGACCTCGACTAACCCTCACTCAGCTCTTCTAGGTCTGTTCCTGGGAAGCATTTCACTGACCACCATTGTCATGAATATATTAGTACTATGCGCTGTGAAAACTGAGAAGAAGCTGCGAACAGTTGGCAATTTATACATTGTCAGCCTCTCTGTTGCAGATCTTATAGTTGGCGCAGCTGTTATGCCCCTGAATATTGTTTATCTCCTAAGTCCTGTGTGGACTCTGGGCTTACCAGCCTGTTTGTTCTGGCTGTCGATGGATTACGTGGCCAGCACTGCATCCATTTTCAACCTCTTCGTGTTGTGCATTGACCGCTATCGTTCCGTTCAGCAACCACTGAAATATCTCAAGTACAGAACAAAAATGAGAGCATCGCTAGTGATTTTGGGAGTTTGGTTGCTCTCTTTCACGTGGGTCATTCCAATCCTGGGATGGCACGTCTTTGCTAATAATGGGGAAAGGACAGTAAAGGAAAACCAGTGTGAAACTGAATTCTCTGAAGTCACCTGGTTTAAAGTGTTCACAGCCATTGTCAACTTCTACCTACCCTCCATCATTATGTTATGGTTCTACTATAAAATATTCAGAGCTGTTCGAAAACACTGTCAGCACCGAGAGCTCCTCGACAGATCACAATGGTCTTTCTCAGAAAAAAACCCCGTACATCATAGCAAGACAAAGGATCAGCAAAATATTTGCCTCCAAAAGCAAATCTTAGATGAGAACACCCCTCCCAAAGACAAGCAAAGCTCCTCTCAGCCCAAAAATAAGGAGGCAGAGCTTCCTGTCAGTAATCCTGACAAGTCTTCAAAGGCATTCGTTAGCAAGAGTAACAGGAAAGTGCTCAAACTGAGCTGTTTTCCTCTCACCACTGCCCAGTCTGAGCCAGGCCTGGCCGCAGCAGGAAAGCAGCACATGTGTGTAACAAAAGATGAGGAAAATGAAGAGGAGCCTTGCTCCCAAGACAGTGACTTAAGTGACGGGTCAGCCAAGGATAGTTTTGCAGGGGAGGTACCCTGTACGGAGCACTCCAGTCCTAACCCTGAAGGAGTCCGCATTCCTCAAGAAAAGACTGTGGACAGGGATTTTGGAGGACTGACTTACCTGAGGAAAACCTGTCAGAGCCTGCATGCCCGTTCCAGTAGCTGCATTCAGGGACCTCACGGACACAGGGAGAGCAAAGCTGCCAAGCAGCTAGGGGTCATCATGGCAGCCTTCATGCTGTGCTGGATTCCCTATTTTGTGTTATTTATGGTAATAGCTTTCCATGGCCATGAAAGATTTTCAAAATTACACATGTTCACTATATGGCTTGGCTATGTGAACTCCACCCTAAATCCATTCTTGTATCCACTTTGTAACCAGAATTTCAAGAAGACATTCAAAAAGATCCTTCACATTCACTGACAGCGGTCTGGTTTCTTTGAGTTAAAAAGCAACTCAAGAGTTCAAACAGACAAAATGTTCCACTTTCAAAGACAAACACAGTGGATAACAGTAGAAGACTTTGGAAAACTGTAATTTATACAAGCGTTAGTAAAAGCGGGAAACGTCATTTAACAGCTTTAACACATTTGAAGAACGAATTCAGATCAGGAATCTGCACAACTCAGAGGCAATCTCAGAACTGCTACATTGCTGTACACATTTTACAATTTGAGATTACCTCTTTCACCATGTAGAAAAAAAACTGGAGAGACAAATAGAGATCTTCAGTGATTATAAATTATTCAGCTACAGAAAAGGAAGAAATAGAAGAAGGTTTCTGTAACTGGCCAAATTCACTTTTCTCTTTCAACTTACTCCATTAAACACGGGAACACCGCTTGTGAAGGGAGACCTGCAAGAGGAGGTACTTTGCATAGCCAAAGAAAGAAGTTTCAATTGTTTAAGAAAATCTACCCTATTTATTTATAGCTTCCCTCAAATAATAAACTTTTTTTAAATGTTAAGTCTATTGTAACCTACCGTATCTCTGTGATATCATGCTTGCTTCATTTTTACCTGTGCATGTTAACTTTGCTGAAAAAAATAAGCATTTTATGTCCTAGAAATTTTGTTGAGACTTTCCATACTCAGCATGCCATCACTATCTATTAAAGAAGGGTGTGCTGTTCTTTCTAGACTTAGAGGATAGTTGATTATAGACTACACATATTTTCTTCTTCCTACAAGTTGGCAAATAACCTAAGTGTGCAGTGGCAGTACTAATCCACATATTTTTATCTTGTAGTAAGCAAACTCTTCCTACTATAATGAGGCAAATTCATGAGCAACAACTCAAGCTTGCAAAACAGAAAATAAATTACATGAAGTATGTTTACTTTTTCCATCCTGTATATTTGATTGCATTTTCTAAATCATGCCATAAATGCTGTAAAATATTTCAGGAGAAACACACGATGATAGAATACTTTAGAGGTTGGAAGGGATCTCAGGAAGACATCTAAGTACAAGCTACAGCTCAAAGCTGGGCTGGCTTTGCCATTGCATCATGTTGCTCAGGGCCTCATCCACAACTGGAACGACAGGCATCTGTAAAAACAGCTTCACCCAGAAAAGCAGGGAGGTAGCCCTGTCAGAGGAGTTTGCAGCTGAGGTTCACTCTACTGACTTTGAGCATACACTTGCTCGGCCGTTGATTTCACTGTTGCTAAGTTCTGATTCTCAAAACCAGACACACCCTGTTCCCCAACAGGAACAAACCCCCTCCTTCCAAGTGCGTATAGATTTGCTCCCAAAGGAAGAAAACGTAGTGCTTCAGCAAAAAGTACAGAGCAGCATGTGTTGCATGAGCTAACGTATCAGGAAGCTTACAACTTCAACTACACCAAAATAAAAGAAGAGTACACAGAGCGGGGAGTGGGAAGGAGAACTGAGGCAGACCTGCCCTCAATTAGCCAAATATCTCACGACCACGTACTGCTTTGTTTGTGGCACACCAGTAAAGTGTTAATTCCTGTTCTGCTGTGGAACTAAGGGAGAGAAACTTAGTTGTCTTTAAAGTATTCAAAATTAAATGAAGCCCTAATATCTCTGCATGTTAATAAACTGGAAAAAAATGTGTTAAAGAAATAGATTAAATTCAGTTTATTCCAGTGTGTCATACAAGGTTCAGAAATTAGTTGACTTTGGTGTCAAGTAGCATGCAGGAAAAACTGCAATTAGGGAACTCAAATCTAGGAGAAAAAAGGGCAAAATACAGAGACAGAATATAGAAGCAGCAACATTCATGCCAGAATTCAGACTGCTTTTTCACTGCAGGAGCAGTATGTGCACCCGTAGTAAAATACGGCTTCTTTTGGACTGCAAAGCAGCATCTTTTGAAGCGTATGCTGTAATCCCATGGCCTCTCACAAACCACTGCTCAGATTCACAGCCATGATGATCTTTTTTTCTGTTGTGATATGCAACAGCAATTCTAGGCAAAAGGGATGGTAATTTAGGGGATCCCTGAGAAAATAAAAAAGCAGCACCCTAAGTCAGCTGCAGTTCTTAGCGTACACTGCTGGAACATGCTCACCCAAGGGCTGCTTAGAGTTACCAAGAAGTCTGTCGTCTTGATCATGACAACTGCTTTTTATGACTTTAGAATGTATTAATACATGAAACAGTGACCGAAACAAAATCCCAGAAAAATTGGTCTAAAAATTATGGTGATTATAATAAAGAATACCTCTGGTACAATTAAAGAAAATTCAAACACAGAACAGCTACACCTAGGCAAATAAAGCTGCCTGAGTATTTTTTATCATCTTCCTCCACTTTTATCCATAATCTTTGCGTAACTGCGTTAATAATGAAGACAGGGGAAGGTGTCATAGTGGGCTTCTCTGATGGGATAGCTATAATAGATACTAACAAAAGAGGAAAACAGGATACTGTCTATTTTAAACTTCCAATTAGCAAGGTTCCTAGCAGGATTTATCAGTTTGTTTTACTGAATAGGCAATTCTGACGGCTCTGGATGTAAGAGAAGCAGAGGAAATCAAATAAGGGTAAGGAATGGAGAAGCCTAGTACCACGTGGAGCCAAACCTCAAGAGAATAGTCCAAGTGTGGTTTCCTGTAAAATATTTTCAGTGTTTTTCAGTCAATAAACAATGTCAGAGGACACACAGCTTCAAGACAACATAACAAACTTCTTGGAATTTCTTAGAATTTCTTGGACTGGAGTTCTACTTTGATTACGGTGTGGAGAGAACAACCAGCCTGACTTTTAAGAGGCAGAAAAGTATATTCTCACAATTTTTTCTGTGTCAGTGGTGACATCTAGTGGGTAATGATTCTGGGCTCCTGCATCAAATACTGTGTATCATGGAAGTTTATTAAAGGAGGCGTGCAATTAGCAAGTGGATCCTGTCATCTAGTACGTGTTTCTTTTCCCATATTGTTTTCGGAAATGAGGCACTCAATAAAAGAAACATTAATGTAGGTGCACATTTTGGCTTCATGCCATCATCTAAAAGGACTCCATTACATTCTCTGTGAGACTGCTTTGTGGTGCACTTTGTGATAGCACAATAAATGAAAAAGATGGAAAGATTCACTTTAAAAATGTATTTCTAATCCTAAATTATTAATACAGAAGCACCGCAGACACCACTGAATACTTCTAGAGCAGGTCCCCAATTCTGCAGGTTGCTGTATCTTTCCACTGCTATCGAGGATGCTAGAGGACTGGCCTCCTAATTTAGCTGGGATGGCTTAAGTTCCTAAAGATGAGGTGTAAGAATACACTTGAAAGTTTCAGTGCACACATTCCCTCCACCAGAATGCAAATGAGTTCGTTTGGAAATGCCAAGTTTAAATACTACGCATACATACATACTTTTATTTGTTCATTAAGTACAATGACAAAATTCATAGAATCATAGAATCATAGAATGGCCTGGGTTGAAAAGGACCATAGTGATCACCTAGTTTCAACCCCTCCGCCATATGCAGGGCCGCCAATCACTAAACCAGGCTGCTTTTCATCAAATTACTTGTCTATTAGGTGGCAAAAAGAACAATTAATGTTAACACTGTGTGCGAAACAGCTCATGAAAACACCATGAGCCATGATACCAAACTATCTTTAAAAATTATACATACCTGACAGTGGAATACATCATTCCTACACGGTCATCTTATAGTCTAAAACAGAAATATAAAAAATCCAATGTGAGATGTACCCTCTATACATGCACAGACACATGAGCACACATACCAGGCTAAGACAAAATACCAGTTAAAAAATAGAAGAGTTTCCATTGAAAGGGATGTGCATTGGTGTACGGTACTGGCTAAAACCATATTGACAGCTGGTAAGTCTAACAACATGTCCATTCTTAACAATACTTGTATCCCTCACAAGTTAGTTTTGGTAAGTCTAACAACGTGTCCATTCTTAACAATACTTGTATCCCTCACAAGTTAGTTTTGTCTGCCAGGGTATCCTGTGTTTAACTCTGATATGTTTCAACTAAAATACGCTTTAAAAGAAATACACAGCACGCATTGCCATCCGTGGGCACTGCATCACTGAAACAAATGCCTACTGTGATGTTGAACTGAATGCCTTGAGTAAAATCAAATGCCTTCTGCTTTTATCAGGCGTGGCTGAGTCTTTAAACACAACACAGTCAGACCTGGGACCTGAACTCAGGTCTCCTACCTGGCAATCTGATTTCCTCCTTACTATATATGAATAATCCCTCAACTCAGTTCTTTGAGGGGCTACAACTGTGTATCATGCCCAAGTGCCCACAGGAGAGGCCTGTGCCAGAGAAATTAGTGGTGATGCTCACAGAAGTCTATCAGCATGGCAACTGCAAGATGATACCTTTTCCAGCATACTCCTACTTTCTTCCACTACTGATTCTAGTACTCACAGCTACAACACTTCTAATTTTGCTGTGTCCCACCCTTGAAGCAGTAACAGGCGCACAGCATAGGACTAGATGACTTTTGACAGTATTTTTTCTAAATAAATTGATAGAGTAGTTCTGACAGGTTCTGCTTATACTTTGTGATCTTGTTCACTGAGAATGTCGTATAAAATTCATTTTAATCCTTAGATGGAAAGCACTATATACACCTAAATAAATACTATTTTAAAACTTTTAACAGAATCTAAGCTGAACTAAATAGTTCTGAGAAGTTATCTTCTCCAAAACATGTTGAGTCCATATTCCCCAAGAACGGATAGGTTTGAATCTGCTTCTGTTTCATTCTCATCTTCAATTCCAGGATGATTTTCCCTTGCTGCAAGATTTCGCTTGGGGAAATTGAAAGTCCTACCTATGGAAATACGTGCCAGAAGCACATATAGAAGGTATAGCATCTATAGCAAACTTCCCCAGTTTATTCCCATTTGTTTTATTTGTGAAATTCCTGGAAAGTCTATTTGGCCCATGCTCCACA